CCAAATAATTTTCAAGCCGACTTCATACTACCTAGTCAGACATCAAGATACCTAATCAGTATTGAAGCTACATAATCAGACTTCAAGCGAATTTGATCAGACTTCAAGCTACCTTGTCAGACTTCAAACTATGTTGATCAGACTTCAAGAATCCCGATCAAGATACCTAATCAGTATTGAAGCTACGTAACCAGACTTCAAGCGAATTTGATCAGACTTCAAGCTACCTTGTCAGACTTCAAACTATGTCGATCAGACTTCAAGAATCTCGATCAAAATACCTAATCAGTATTGAAGCTACGTAACCAGACTTCAAGTGAATTTGATCAGACTTCAAGCTACCTTGTCAGACTTCAAACTATGTCGATCAGACTTCAAGAATCTCGATCAAAATACCTAATCAGTATTGAAGCTACCTGGTCAGACATTAAACTACCTGATCATACTTAAAGTCACCTCGATCAGAGTTCAATTATTTTGATCAGACTCCAAGCTGATCAAACTTCCATTTCCCTAAATAAACTCCAAATTACCTGTCATCTCACCTATGGAAGTTTCTGTACAAATACATTACTATCTGTACTACTGAGTACACATTATGTCTACTAATGAATGCAATGGATGACATCAAGATAACTAACCCACAATCTTCTTTATAATTTTAACTATTGTATTATATGTTTGTTTCATATTGTTTTACATTTATATTCTACAAAAGGATCTGATGTAAATTACAGCTATAACGTGGACTACGCTCATTCAATACAATGTTATCATTAAACTAGCAGATCAACCCTAAATATACCTGACTAGACTTCAAGCAACCCCAACTGCAGCCTCGAACGTATATTTAAATCAGATTTCAAATCCATCTGTCACTATGTTAGTGTGATGTCCATGGGCAATATTTGTGTTTAGGTGAGTCGGTGCTGACACCAGATTGTGGCAATGCCAGTGATAACCTTTTGAACTCATTATAATTTAGCGGTTTAGTACTAAGAGATGCTTTCCATAGTATAATCTTTTGAAACCCAAAGATAGCCTAAGTGTAGATTGTTAGTAAGTAAAAGGTTGTAGATTGTACTCGACAACAGGTTTATTCATCATTCCAGGGTGATGTCTTTGGGAATGACGTCATAGGTCATAGGTCATGTTGTTAATAATAATAATAATAGTGTCAACAGAAGTGTGTATAGATTAATGTTGAGACGAGTCTTTACTGTTTACACGCGCGGGAATTGAGCCCCATGCGACGATAACAACACACGCTAAAACGCAAAGAAAGAAAGATCCCTCAGGTATTGGAAATGGAGAATCTTATCTTATGAGTCTTAAGTGATATAAAGAATGACTTAATGAACTTAATCCTCACATTAGATCACATGTCATTCGCATGTTTTATTTTACGTTCAAAATTGTCTGTAACATTTATATTCACTGAAAACTACATTCGACATGAAGGTGTGTTCTATAGTTTCACCCACGTACTCTTTAAGGCAGAAATTGAACATCAGAAAAGCTTCTACTCAGAAAAATGTGGGTACGTACGTTCCAAAATAAACTTGCATACAGTCTCTTGTTTATTTTTTTTTCCGAAGTTTATTTTCGTCGATAAAATAAAATATGGGATAATTAATGACGAAAACCGGCTTACAGCGAAATAAATATATTTATTTCTCGGTAACATGACTTTCGCGGTAACCCGTTTTTCGCCATTTACACACTTCAATGGTATTTTATTTCCTTGAAAAAAACACCAAAAAATAAACAGGAGCTGATCATTTATACAATCTAATAGAAATAACAATAAATATAAATATGAATGCAATAAACTCGGTTGACAATAATGTTTCACATGGTAGTTGTTTTTCACTACATGTATGCAAATAGAAAACTAACTATGTGAGTTGGCTAAATGTGCTTTTAATGTTTGCTTGAAAGTATTGCGATTGGAAATATTTCTAATATGGTTAGCAAGGCTTTTCCACAATTTAATTCCAGGGAGTAATCCAGGAAAAATTGACCAAATGTAGTTCTTTTGTGTGGGCAGGCAAAGTTTCCATTTGACGGGATCTAGTTAATATGAATGGCCAGGAAAAGAGAATTAGCTACTTAGATCACGGGGAGGGGGGTATTATTGTTGTACAGATCATGAATAAAACATGCTGTTGGTCAAAAATGTCAAGAAAACCCAGAGAATTAGTAAAGAGAAGTCTGCTGTGAGTGAGTCTGTCTTTAAGCATTATAATGCGTGCCAGTTCATTTTGTTGTTTATAAATTGGATCGAGGGAAGAGCGGTAAGTACTACCCCAGACTTCTAAACCATATGATAAATGTAGGAGAATAAAGGAGTTATAAAGTACTAAGAAGTAGCGTAATTTTGAAATTAAGCCTATCAGTGGTGTTATTTTTGCTAACACTTTTATGTGAGGTGTTTATATATGGTTAAGGCAAGGTAAGTAGCTGTAGTAACATTAGATAACACATTATTATTGAGATTCAGGTTGTTGTTTGAAGGGAGGATGTTCTGAGGAAGAAAGAAGATCACAGAGTTAGTTTTATTGTTGTTAGTTTATTTGCAGCACACCAGTTTGCTACATGATTTAGATTAGTTTCAATTTTTATGTTTATGGTAAGTATTATTATGGTCAAGATATTATTAAAATACGGTCTAGTCTGGTTTAAAGGGCGGTAGTCGTCGCGCCACGCATGCGCGAAATATATGGGTCTCATATAAACAATTATGGCGACTTGACTGTTGCGCAAATCAACGAGTACAAACTGAGATGTTACCAAGCTTTAATTGGGTGTTTGTAGGGTGATTGGATGGTATCAAAGGAGTCACCGGCGTTAATTAGTGCAAGTCGCGCCAAGGTAAAACCTCATATTGTGAATTTAATTAGAAGAGCGCATTGGATTGTGGGAAAATCAACGTTTATCATGATCAACACAAATATCGACATGCGCAGCGCGACGACAACCGCTCTTTAACTTGAGCAAGTTATCTGTTTGGTACCCACCCACATTGCAGCACAATGCGTTTTCTGGATGCAGGAATGTTTCATTATTCCAGAGTAATTAGAATATTTGCTAAGTGTGTGTACTTATACCTGAATTGTTATTGAATAACACTGTATAGTAGTACTAGCTTTACTGCCTCCAATTGGGAAGCATTCATGATTTTGATTTGTTGAAACATGCTGTTTGATTGGCTTGTCTGTTGTTGCGTATCGATTAATCCAGGCACAGTCTTGAATTTGCTAATATCCCGAACGATGAGGGTGACAGTAGTATTGTTTCACGCGCACTGTATCTACTTGGCTTTGCCACAGAGACAACAGTGAGACTGGCCCTGTCTTCGCGGAGATGCTGAATTGTTCGGGTTACGAACATCGAGTTCCAAAAAACACGCCCAAATTGTAACTCCATGTTCAATTAACAGAACTTCGAGTTACGGGAAACACATATTTTTATTTTTGTTGATAGCTCGTAGCTCGACTAATTCGGCATCTCTTCTTCGTGACTTTAAACAATCATTTACAAGATTAATGATCAAAATTACTTCGCACTTATGAGCGTTATGACACGCACCAGACACACCAGCGACTGTGTACTGAGGTAAGGGAGTGGGTGGCTGGTACGCTTTTTACAGGAAATAAAAAGGAAAGTTTAATTACAGTAAAAAATAGTTATTTTATACTTTTCAGATAAAAGCAAATTCCTAATTACATTTTTATAATATATTTGATAATTTGTGTTTAAGAATCGAAATTGGAAATTGCGTACAAATTACGAAATTTAATGTTGAAAATGCTTTACACGCTTACAAAAAATAAGATCTTCGTACAAATTACGGACGAGTAGCTGATTACATTGTACACCTTGTACACGTCTACGTTTTTTATTTATTTAAATTACATTATTACGAAAAAAAAAACAATTGATTACAGCTTACGAAAATACCCCTCTGTACCGATTTTTTAGACCGGTACATACATTTTGTTTAAATAAGTCTGTTATTTATTATATAGGAATTTATAATAAAATAAAATGAAAATCAACTAACTGCATCGGGATCTTATATTATATTTATATGACGTGCCCGAGTCCCGCACTATTATTTTGATGTCTACCGTTTTACCCAACTTGTTTTAATCGCGCAGCGACATCGAGGCGCGCATAAAAACAGTCAGCAACTCAGCTGGCATTGTCGTGTTTCGGTCACGGTGTTCGAAACAACATGGCGGTGACAGTAATAATACAACGCGGAAATGGTGTCACTGTAAAGGTATGTTCCTCGTCAGAAATCGTGGATCAGTGCATGGGTTCCAGTGGATCATTTACACGAAGTCACACATTTAGTGCCAACCTTGCTCAGTGATCGATCGATGCCACTATTTCAAAAAAACCGTGACGGTGAACTAAAAAAATATCTCATTATATTTCCCCTGCCCTCAACATTAAAAACAGGTATCTTCAAATGCTATACAACCCTTATAACATAATGGCCTGATAATTATGTATTTTTTTAATTTGAACATTCTTGGACATATTTTGGATGACATTTGAACACTTCAAATGTTGAAATAACATGAGGTTACGCTGAATTGCAGGTGTGGCCACAAAGTGTCAACCAAAGTGGTCAAAGGTCACGCCACGCGCTATCTCCAACTGAACAAAGGCAAGTTTCTAGAGTGCATTTCGGCTTCGCTGAGGTGTTTGAATGACGATGTCTGCTGCTTGACGGATATTCGCTGTGTTATTATGGATTTTAGTACGAGCTCGAAAACAGTTAAGTATAACATAGTATACCTATAGAAGTATGATACCTCAACACAACGGGTGTCAGCTGTCGGCGACCCAGCGAGTGGAATCAAAATGGCTTTCGCTGTAATCAGGGGGACTGTCGTCACACGAAACTGCCACTATCGACGCCGGTTACAGACCGTTTTGGGCCGTTTATAATATTATTGTGACCGACGGTGGTGTTTCAATCAACCAACTAATCGATTCAAATATTTAGAGCGACTTGATTTCAAGCAGATATTGCAGATCGTTGACTACATCGCCTTTCACACGTACGGTACAGGCCCACGCACCTTTGCGATCCAGACTAGTGTTCGGTTCCTTGTTGTGGAGTCGGTGTTTACTTTGTCACGACCACACAGTTCAACGATATATTAGTGACCCACGGTGACGGTTTGATTGTACATCACGGTACCCCCCTCCTCCCATCTGCGTAAAACGTGTGTAATCTCAACTTGTATTGAGTTGTTGATACCACAGTTTAGCTGCGTCATGGCTCTCTATGCATCGCAACCCGGACACTGTGTAGCCGAGTTGTCAACCATGACCGGCGATTTGGGGTCCGAATAAGTTCGATATTAGATCGGTTGGTGTATAGGGCAATCGGTCGGTACCGAAGCCCCGATTGAATCGTGTATGCTGACCGATCTATCATATGACTTATCCGGACTCCAAATACCACGGAACCACGCGGCGCGGCGATCAAACCGTGTTATGTACGTTGACCTTGGAATGTGTATGGGTTAGTTACGGCATGAAGTACGTACCGTTAACTGCGCATTCATTGTAGGCATGTATACAGAATGAACTCAGAACTACACGTCATTACATGTCGGTTTGACAGTTTTATTTTTGTATTTACTAATCGTCATTTCCAGTTTGATCAAATGTCGCGACGAGAAGGTTTGGGTTTTGTTTTCCTTTGGTTTCCCATGACATTCCGTACCGCAGTTATGGCATGTCCAGTGTTTACATCATACGATACACAAACCTTGGTGAGTGCAATGCAGTACACGGCATAGGCTTCGTACTTGACCTAACCAAGTGCCAGTGGCGGTCTATTTCCGACACTTCGGGTCTAGTTATAACACGTGTATGAAAACAACATCCCATGTTGAGAACGGGGCGCAGACTCTGTTTAATTAGTTGTGCATTTGAGATGCTCATTTTGTACTTTCGATTGACAATAATTTCACCCAATTAGAGAAGGTGTAGAACTTCAAGTTGTTAGTGGTATTGTTATTTGTTGATCACCTACTAAGTACAATAAAATATGTTTTGTTTTTTTAATTTCTGTGGAACGTTTACTCCAATGAGTAAGACGCTGTCGAATTTATATGATGACCGTTTTTGTCTCTGATTGTAAAGGCAGTTTTTAAGAAAAATGAATGAATGTTTACATAAATTTGTCTTTTTTTTTTTTTTTCAAATATTTAAAAATTCTCAATTTGCTGTGAAATCAGATTATTGAAATGTGGCCTATGAACCAGAGTGTACTTGTTGTATTCTGCCAGACTACCTCGCCCTCACACAATAACAAAATAAATTGATGATATTTTTAATTATGTATGGAAATTACGCGACAGAGGAGTATACATTCAGATAATTATGTTAATATAATTTGGTAATTAATAATTGAATAATAATAATTACTTCGGCGCGAAATCCGGTCTGTGAAATACATAATGTACATAAAAATAATAGTAATATGTATGTGATTGTCTTTTCTTTTTTTTTCTTTTTTTTGTGTGTGTGTGTGTGTTACTTTATTGTATTTTCAACTAAAGATACCACTCTGGGATACGGTTTTAATAAAGATTATTATTATTATTATTATTATTATTACTACTCGTAGTCTTTGGTAATTATTCAATTTAATTAGACTATGGAAGACATAATTAAATGTAGTCCACGTTGCCGGAGTATCGCTAGAATGGGCGTGATTGTAACAGTGTAGTTTTATCTTTTGAGTAGTATTAATCGTACGTCGCCGCTATCACCGGTAATGTGCGTTATCGTACTTTACGTGGCAGACCGTGGCCGTGTAGATATGGCATAACGATCGCTCTATAGTGATGACTGGGTTAATGTGTTGTTATGTATGTGTAAACGTGACGTCATTTGTCACGTGCCAGGTGAGGATTCACTAGGTGATCTCCTTCGTGCGGACGTCATTGTAATGAGACGTCGTGCGGTGAGTAGCAGCTCGCTCTGCCCTTCATGTACGTATGTACACAAAGCGATCATGCACATGTTAATATTATTTTTATATTTTGACTACAGGTATGTGAAACGTTGATCGACACGACTGCTTTACTAAAGGGGGACTACTGAACGCCGGAATACTATAACACTGCTTATATTCGACGTTGTGAACTGCACCATTGAAAGACGGAACCGCGGTGCGAGACCAGGAGACCGGTGAAGGAGGGTTATAAAGGCGTGGCGTGTGTCAGATAAAAATTACCAGCACATGATCACCGATGGTTGACCCCTATCTTTGAAAACCGTTTTATTATTAGCACGTTTATTATTTAGTATTTCAGTGTTGTACTGTACAGTTGTGTATTGCCCATTGAAAACAAGTGGTTTCACGCGAATTCATGCGATCGCGGGCGGTTCTTTGGGGTTAGTGTTGAGTTCTGGCGGCGAGACCTCACCTCAGATGACCTCACTGGGAAATCCAATGTACGGTTAGTGCCATGGCCAGCGTCAGCACCAAGTTGTTACGTCCTGTGGCGCAGACGATGTACTAACAGGGCGTTTATCGCCGTCTTACTGGTGATGACACCGGTAATTATGTTATCGACCCACTTCCACAGTGAGATTCTCGAGTACGACCGAGGAGTCGGTTCCATCGACGGGAAAGCTGAATACCATGGGTACGAGGCCGATCGTGCAGTGCAGACCGCGTCAAATCCAAACCGTACAGTCGCCATGAAAGGTGTTTCACGTAAGAACGAGTCCACATGGCTGAGCAAGAGACCGCCAGATGTTGGAATCGATGCCAAAACAGCACAAGAAGACAAAGAACGAAGTATACAGATTATTTCGGGGTTACCAGGTGAGTGACCCGGAAGTAGGGGTGTTGTTGATTAAGCGTGGGAACATCCCTGTGTCAGTTGGTTAAGACAGAGCTTACAATCGAATGTTATTGTGCACAAATTCTATTAACATGTGCTTCGATAATTAACCTATGTTTTAATTTAAACTGACCATATACAGGCACTACAATATCACCTGAGATAACCCGGGTCTTTGAAAGGTCAACGACTAACCGTTGGCAACGTTTGCGTACTAGTATCATTGTGCCATGCACTCGTATACGTAGACACTATACACACGCGTGCCCGCGAACGAATAAATGATAGCGCGTACCATTCTGTTGCATCTCTACTTAATGCGCCGAGTAAAATTATTAACAATGTTTTTTTTTTTAAAATAACTTTGTAATTACCAAAATATTATGCCTTCAGAAGCTGCATGAGCTTGAATACGGTGCTGGCAGCAGCTCGGAAAGTGTGGTTGTTGATATATTCGTTCTGTGTATGACTTTCGCATTTCGCTTTCAGGGTGAACAAACACATTTATTGTAAATGAGAAACTTTCGATTATTCATCCCCAAACAATGCAATTGGTTGTCACATTTTACAGTTACACTTTAACATGGCAAAATACCATAAATTACGGTTATGTTTATCGTAGGGAAACATTCCCCTGGGCCATTCATCCCATCAGTTTGGGTTACGGTGTGTACAACTGCACTTTGCTTGACTGAGTGCAGTGTGTTTTGCCAGTCTAGTAAAGAACCTATATGGCTTCACAGTGGGAGAACGTATAGATAGCTGGAAGATAATGACTGTTGTTCAAAAGAAAGTGTCCATTAACCGCCGATTACATACTATTATCACAAATATACGTCATATATCCAGGGTACTGACCCTGTCATTTCGTGACATGTGTAATTTTGGCAACATGTATGCTTTTATAATAATGTTTAGACGCTGGTCGCTTTTAATATGCGGGTGACGACCGTTTATGCTGCATTTCGACAACTTATATGCTTGTGTTGTATTATAGTCGACGCCACCTTTTTTTACTGCTGCCTTCACCAACATGGCCATCATGTTGACATTCAAACAGACGGTGCTATTACGGTTGACACAGTGATGTATTATACTGTGTTTACTCTATTGACAATGATACATTATATGTCATTTTATTTAATGACCCACAATACTTCAGGCTTCGGGTGAATACAACTGTTTTCGCATTCTGTCTTTCAGACGCCCGCGACTCCCGGTAACAACTAACAGCGAGCCGTTGTTTTCATGACTGCTATATTTTTTCCCGGTTCAGCCATATGCTGTGACTTGCACACATCGACGTGTTTGCACACGTCTTGTTAAATACTATTATATCATTCGCAAATATATACATGTACAACTAATCACGTCTTTGGCGAGTCATAGTATTCAATATTGTGTTTAATCCTCCTGGTCCTTACGCGCGCTAAGCTCCCTGAAGGGGATACAAACAAGCACAAACGATTTCTATCCGCAACCTAATCACGTGACATGACATGGATTATTTTATCAGAATGTATAGGCGACAAGCTTTGAGAAACAAAGCAGCTGCCTGTGATTTGTTAAGGATGCTCAATACAGTTTCACTTCAGCGATGTGCGCATAATATTGCGCAGTTTCTACTGGTTCGAATATAGACTCAGTCGTACGAGTACGCGCGTAACTCTAATTTATTATGTTCGTGTTTTACTTTCCCTTCGCGGAGTTCGTATATTAACTGTGCAATATAAACATTCGGTAATATTTTTATTATTGCTAATAGTCATAATAATCTCCCGGTGTACAAAAATGAAAAATTAATATACATTTCTTGAACATTAAACATTTTCAAAAATGGCTTCACACATTCACTTTTTTCCATACGTTTTTCTTCAGTTTTCAATCATTTTAATAAAGATCTACATGCAAATAGGGAATATGCCAATTTCAAAAAAATCAACGAGAAGATGTATACAATGTAAAAATGCTGCACTGTAATGTCCGAAAGTGTGAATCGCGCGGCCAGTCATAGCCCAAAGATGGGAAAAGTCGACCATATCTGTTTTTATCTCTACAATACGACTTGGGTAATACACATTCGCGGCCTCTATCTTTAACAGAGTTGAAGGTAAATTGATGTTTAGTGTTGACGATGATTACCGCTTGCAAATAAATGATTTTAGAGAGTTTATTTTCAACTGTGCCCTTCAAAGGTTTGTCTTTATATAGGCTGTGAAAAATCTACAGTAATACACATAGTAAACGCACTACAAATGGAGGTAGAAATAATCGGTTCTTTGTATAGATTGAACGTTGCTGTAATAACTGTTTCTGATTAATGACCTGTTAATTAGTAAAGCAATCATAACCTTCCCCGGATCGCCAAATCTGGCACGGGACTACGGGCGAGCCGCGTCATTCTGATATTACAAATGTTGACCACAGCACAACTCAATACTTTACTGTATTGACTCGCAGGAGCATTTGTAACCTCGGCTTCACCTCAGCTTTCCGAGTCGACGCAACTGTATATTTGCAATTGTGATGTGGGTATTTCACTTACTTGTATGTGTATAATGGAAGGAAAAGAAGGGAGTTTCTACTCCATAGTATACGGACTCTCTACCGGTTAAAATAAACCCAGTATGAATTGTTAAAAATAATATTTATAATAATAATTATGTAATTGTATGGTTTGTGCATATTTTGCTTTACTAATTATGCTCGACAGTTGTTAGTGATCTCACCCATCTATGATGAATGTTGTTTTACTTAATTAATTATTTAATTATCATAATAATGCAAATTTCATTCAATTATCGTACTTGGTCTCGTGTATAACACTACCAAATTTGTTGTGAGTCGCCGGAAATGAATTATTTAATAGCCTTTTTACTACTTTTAACAATTACCATAATTTGACTTGGAATTCATTTCCGTGATTTGCGTGATGAAC